GCTGTGAGAAACAAAACGAACAGGACCAAACTCTGATCTCATTCACTTGTTCCTCATGAAAATAAAGTGCAGAGAACGAATAACATCACCAGCTTCCTCCTGGTGCTGCTTACACTCCTTCCCGCCTAAGGATCTTTGTACCTGCTCATCCCTGGAGGATGTGCTGCATCACATGGCTGGACTCATTTTCAGCTCTTAGGTCTTGGTCCTAGGCAAGTCATATCTGACCAGCTTACCTCAAATAGTATCCATCCTCATTTCCTTCCCCTCCCCCAGTTATACTTCATCCTTAGCATCCTCATCAATAACACTGTTTTGAGTACCACGAATAGTTCTGAGCAAAATGTTGGCAATAATTAATGTAATCCTCACAACCAACCTGTGGAGTAGATATCATTATTTTCCCCATATCACAGATAGAAAACTGTAAAACTGAGAGGTTAAATACCTTGTCCAAGGTTAGACAATAAGGGATAAGGATCAGACACAGGCAGTTTGGCCCCAGAGCCCACTCCTTTAAGCGCTACAACCATTAGTGTGTCCTTCACAGAGTATCATGTTGTTCTTGTTTTTTTCCAAGAGATTGGGTCTTGCTATGTTGCCCAGACTAAAGTGCAATGGCTATTCACAGGCACAATTATAGCATGCCACAGTGCCTCGAACTCCTGGCTTCAAATGATCCTCCAGCCTCAACCTCCCAAGTAGCAGGGACTACAGGTATACACCACCTCGTGCCCGGCTATCCTCTATTTTATCGTGTACATATATATGTGTGTATATATGTGTGTGTATATCCTCTATTTTATCGTGTACATATATATGTGTGTATATATGTGTGTGTATATAAGTGCATGTATGTGCATATATACGTCTATGTATGTGTGTATATATGTGCATAGGTCTATGTATGTATGCGTATATATGTGCACATGCGTGTGTGTATATATTTCATGAACGTAAGGACCTTGTCTGTCTTGTTCCTGGCATATAGTAGGTTTTCAATAAATATTTGTTGAATGAATAATAAAGCTTGTTTTACCAACTTGTGTTTGTATAGTCCTTATACTTTTAAAAAGTGTTTTCCTACCTATTATTTCACTTTATCCTCTGAAAAATTCCTATAAGACAGGCAGGACCATATTTTGGTTTCCTCTGTGAGTGGAACCTAAGATACCAAATTACTTGCCTATGACTAATAGTTAATTGGGTGAGTCCAGGTTTCCTGATTATATGGAGAATCATTCTGCTCCCACATTATACCAGCTACTAGCTATACCCATCGCAACAGAGATGAAATTCCATCCTAAAGACACATCCTTCCCCAAAAGTATGGAATTCTGTCTAAACAGAAAACCTGCTATTTCTCAAAGGGTTTAAATTTAAAGACAAAAGAGCTTACACACTATTCTTTGCCTAAGCCTAAATTCAAGAGGATATCACCAAGTCAGAGAACAGGAAAGGTC